AGGATCGCAAGTCGCTGGTGAGCTGGCATGGTGGCGGTGGTGCATCCGTTTAAGGAGCTGCCCTCGCCGCGCCGATGACGAGGCTGCAGATACCACACCAGCGTGTACCACGTAGGACGAAGGCGAAGCCGGTCAGCGAGCGGCCACCCAGCCGAGACGGTTTTATCGTCCACCGGTCCAACGGGCCGCAGCCACAGACGGCCGGGCCGGGTGACGGACGGGCACGACGTAGACGTCGACGTCGCGTAGACGGCGACGGCGACGGCGTCGTCCGCGGAGCAGTAGGCGGAGCAGCCAGCAGCGACGGCGACGGCGACGGACGCGCCGTAGATCGTGACGACGTCGGTGGTGCGGTTGGTGCTGCGATTGTTGGTGCGATTGAGCGTGTCGGTGTTGGTGTACTGCGTGGGTGTCCCGCTCCGAGGTTGAAGCTATCGTTCCTGGTGACCGGACCACAACGACGGCTATCGCCATCCGCAACCCCTGGTGTCGGTGGCCTTGGGACAACGGATCCGCTTCACCACTATGCCACGCTGTCTCATGGCGAAGAAGTGGAAGTGGAATCAGTGGCAGGCACGCGTGGACGAACAGCAGAACGAGCAGAAGGACGCGACGCCACCCGGAGCCGCTCTGCAGGAACAACAGGCGCAACATCACGCGCTACATCAGACCGCGGATGCGATGGAGAAACGGCCACATAGGCATGAACCCGAGGACGAGGAGATCGACGTGGTCGGAGACGTCGATAATCATCAGGTCGATCATCAGCAGACCTGTTGGGGGCCGCATAGTCCCACGGCGGGGGCCACGGCCCCCAGTCCGCCACCCCTTAACGCCTCCGGCGCCCTTTATTATCATGGTAAGTGGAACCTTTACAAAGACCCTTCCTTTCCTTCCTTCACTGCGGCAGCGTGATGCGATCGCGCGAATCTCCCACTTTTACACGATATATACCGTTCGCGGGGTGTAGGTTAGACGCGCCACGCCCAAGACCGAAGGGCTTTTCCCTTCAGAAACGTTCGCGAAATCTGCGAGGGAAGGATCCTAGAAACTGCCGTTTTTCCCTTTCTCGGTTTTTCCGCCAAGACCACGGCTTCGGGATGGCACGACGGAGTCTGGCCATGCGTTATCGAGCACGCCAGGATGACACACCCGTCTATTACATTGTCCGCGTGCGCTATAGACAGATTGCGGTAGCCGTTTAAACGCGCCATGATTACAGCTGCACGTTGGTCCATCGGGAATGCAAAAAGATAGTCCATTAAGTGCCGCGAGAATCGTACGCGCGATTACGGCGAGCATTTCTGCGACCTGTGGGAAACCGCCCGCAAAGTCAGCCATGTGCCCACCTACGTACGATATATTCGTACATGGCGACACACCCGTTTGTAGATCGTCGATCACTTTGGCGAACATTTGGCACCATTAACATTGAGTTACGAATCTGATATGACATTAGGTCATTCTAACAAGAGTGATTTCGCCTATCGCATTTATTGGCTCTCAATCAGACAGGGTGGAAACTGATTGCGTTGACGTAACGGTTATTGTGTAACCATCCGTATCCAGAACGGTCAAATTGCTTTTGTGACGTAAATGCTGATGAGAATACGCCTACGATATCAGATTATGGTCAAGTGGACTATTTGTCGAATATTCTCCGCTTGTTTTTACGTTTATACTTCGCATAGTCACACCGAGTTCAATATAAATTACGTAATCGTATTTAAACGAGCGAAGGACGATTCGTGATAATTTTTTTTCGTATTACTAATTTTAAATCATTTTCAACAACTAAAGGACTTTTTTAAAAAACTTTGGTAAACATTTAAAAAGCTTGGATATTTCCGCTAACTTAAATTTTGTATTTAATATATTTTTAATATATTAAATTTTGATATTTTTATTATAATATTTTTTCGTAATGTTTTTTTTCTTAATATATTTTACATGTATAAAACATGTGGGAGAAACCTTATTACAAAATTAAAAAAAAAGTATTAGAAAGTTTTCTTAATTACGAATATTATTATTATTTAATAATATAAACATAAAACGATATAAGAAAATTATCAAAATTAAATTTATATGCTCGTTGCTTATATTAAGCGTGATTCCATTTTCTGCATGAATCTGTTTTATAAAAATAGGGCATATAAAAATTTTGCATACGTAAGTCGATCACTAACACTTTGATCGCCTATAAGTATTCTTAGAAAGCCAGGACTACAGAGTAACGACCTCTTTTTATCTCATTTATGCAGCTTATAGGCAGTACAGTGCGCACGTGCTCGTACAATGGCGCAAATGGCGCTGTTATGTAACAAGTGTTCTCTTCGTGTCGCTATGTGCGCTTCAATGTATGACTACAATTGAGTTTTGCCAATCAATTTCTTTCTTCGACGCTGAAGATTATATAAGACTCTGTCGTAATGTTCATTGAAAAATTTGAAAGATACTTAAAAAGATTCAGGTTAGGTTTTCTCCAATAAATGCTTAAAAAGATTATTTTTATTTAACTTTGAATAATTTTATATAATGAAAATTTTATATAATGAAAATTTTTTAAAAATATTTCATACGAAAGGTCATGGTTCATGTTTTAAAGAAGTCCGTATCAGCCATTGTACAAAATTTCCAATATAATTTTTAACGCATAAAAATATTAACAGATTTAACACAATGAAAGAACACGGAAAGTTTATCTTCGATCGCAAAGATTAAATTTCTAACAGGATAATTAATTATAGTCACGCAAGAAAAACGTAAGGACTTATGTCTATTAACAGGTTTCATCGTCCTTGACTTTCGTCGCACGATTGGTTTTTATTCATTTGGTAATGTAATATGTTATAGGATAAGATCTCTTCACATTTTTGGTTATTTATGAAACAAATTTAAAGATATTTAATATTTCTTATAATATTTCTTCTTATAATTTCGTATAATATTTCTTATATCAAAAAATATTTTAAATAGAATTTATACTATTCTAATTTTTCTACACATTTTCTAGTAAAAGACATAATTTACTTAGAAATTCTAGACAATTCTCTTTTTTTTCTTTTATTAAAATATACATATATATACATTTCTTAAAAGATTTGTATTTAAATTTCATATTTATTCATTAAATATAATACATATCTAAAATGGAAATCTTATATCGCAGTAGAATAGAAAAGTTATTATCCAATACACTTTACTATCCATTTTGACAGGCAAAAACTTAAATTTTTCTTATGTATATTAAATATATAATTGGTTTTGTTATATAAATATTATTAGATACTTATTTTCTCTTTAGAAATGGGAATTTTTTTAAACTAATATTTTAACTAATATTTTTTAAATAATTTAATACAGAAGTGTAAATTTCTGTTTAATTATTTAAATAGTTTGATAGATCAAGTATAATTATTTATACTTGCTGTTTGTTTTGCGCACACAGGATCGATAAAGATCAGAGGCGATAAACCTACAGGAATGTGCGGAATGTTCATTCAAGGTATATAAATATGCTTTATAGGCTATATCTGTGATCTGTGATAGATAACGTAGATATAGAAACCACCTAGAAGTCATAGATAATCCATGTCACTTTGTACATTATTCTACATAATGATTTCATTGTTTCCTAATTGTAAGATGTTAAATTAGATAGAAATTATTACTAATCGATATAAATATAATCTAATCAGATATTTTGGATAAGAGACTATTTTTTTTTTATATTTTCCGTTTTAATAAAAATAGATCTTTTACATTCTTCATATCGTGTGCGAAAATAATAATAACAAAAATAATAAAATCTTTATGTATAAATTATAGTTCTTTAGAAAAATATCTTTTATTAATCAAAAAAGTAAACGAGTTTACATTTACTCAAATTAAAAACGCAGTTAGATATTATAATAAGATAATGAAGTATAGGAACAGAATTTTACAAATCACGTTTTTCAAAGATCTATTTTTTTCTTTACGTTTTAAATCTCGTAAGGACTTTCTCTCTTAAATCCTGCAAATAGAGAGTGCAAGTCAATGACTGTCACATGATGATATATGTTAATTGAATCGATGAATTACAGTAATATCTTATTTATATATAATTTTTGTTGTCGTCGTCGCGACATTGCTTCCACCATCTTGTAATCTTTGAGTCGCTCGAGAAAAAAAAATCGAGTCGAAAGGAAAATCTCGATGTTAACGTTAAACGCAATGGAGATTTTTATCGCTCTTTAAAAGGGCCTAGAATCAGCGGACTTGTGGGAGCGCGCGTGCGGAGCGTTCATTCGCCGTTATTGATTCCCCCCGCCGTCCCCCATACAACCCTCCTGTACGCCTCGTTCAACCATCCCTTCTCCTCCTTCTCCTCGACCCACCTCACAACTACGCTCCTTCTGCCGTTGATGAAATGCACTTGCAGACACGACCGCTCTTCTTTACCTCTGTGTTGACTTCCCTTTATTTCAACCAATAATAGGTACGCGCCAGCTGATCGATCGCGCGCACAGCACACTTTTCTGATTTATCGGAAATGCCGCCTTCTCCTAGAAGAGACCTCTGCGAGAGTCCCCGTCGAAAGAGAAAATAATACTTTATCGGAACAGGGTATTTGGCAAGGGGCGTGTCTGATATATGTGATGATTTCTTCTTTTTATTGAAAAATTCAAGTAATTTTTTTCTTTCTTTCTATCTTTTTTTTTTCTCTAAAAGATAACACAGACTTATCAGCTATGACTGATTAAAAAAGAAAGCTTATAATTTATGCTTGAAATGTTCAGTGATTGGAAGATGCGGAATTACTACGGATATTCAACAATAAAACTTCAGAAATTGCAAAAAGATATGACATCAAAGTAAAGTTTTTTTTTTCAATACAAGGAATTTGCCGACAAAAGATACCGCAGTAAAGGATCGTTTTAGTTTTTAATCAGACAAAATGTTATCTCATTTGTCAAATATTCTTATTATAGGATTTCATAATAACAGAAAATGAATGGAAATTGGCCTAAAAATAATAATGTTATTTCTAAAAAAGACAGTAGATATTTTAAAAATAAATCTTTCGAAGAAAGAAGAAAGAAAAAAGAAATTCCGGTATAAATCCTTCATAATTATATTTTCTATTCGATAAAAATTATTTTCATTGTTAATTTTAGCTTTATAATAAATTTCTTAATATATTAGATGTACAAAAAAGTTCTGAGCTTTAGATTTCATACAACCGAAATAACAATTTAAGTTTTATATATCTTCCCGCCCTTTTATGGTTTTAAAGCATTGACATTTGACCTTCTAAAATGCCATACGGTTTGGCGTTTGATGCATATAACCTCAAAGATCAGTAATATTCACGATGGCAATAACAAAAGAGCATATTCGATTTTCCATTCACTTTGCGTTTCATCTGAAGAAAAATGTTGCCGAAGCCACTGCAATGATTTGTGCTGCATATGGAGATAACGCTGTAAGTCATACTACATGTAAAAGATATCAAAAATTTCGCCAAGGAGATTTTAGTCTTGAAGATGAACCGCGTGCTGGACGCCCTCAAAAGATTGAAACGGACGAATTGCAAGCACTGCTGGATATAAGCTCTGCGCAAACTGAAAAGAAGCTTGCAGAACAGCTTGGCGTTACGCAGCAAACCATTTTCGTACATTTACATACGATGGGAAAGGTTCAGAAGGAAGGCAGATGGGTTCCGCATGAATTGTCCGAAGACAACAAAAATCGTCGGCGTGACACTGCACTCACTTTGCTTTCAAAGTTCCGGAAAAAAGATTTTCTGCACAAAATCATTACAGGCGATGAAAAGTGGATTCTTTATGATAACCCTAAATGTAGAAAATCATGGGTTGACCCTGGACCTTCGATATCGACGCCAAAGCCTAATATCCACGCCAAGAAGGTTTTGCTCTGTATGTGATTGGAAAGATGTGTTGTATTACGAGTTGTTACAACCGGGTGAAACAATCACGGCAGACCACTACCAACAACAATTGATCAATTTGAGCGATGCATTAGAAGAAAAGAGGCCATTTACTGGCCAAGAACGTCATAAAGTGATCTTACTTCATGACAATGCTCGACCACATGTTGCGAAAGCGACTCAGGACCATATCTTTGCGTTAGGGTGGGAACTTCTCCCGCACGCGGCGTATAGCCCAGACATGGCGCCTTCCGATTACTATCTATTTCGGTCGCTGCAGCATCATTTGGCTGATACACATTTCGTGAGATTTGAAGAGATACGAAAATGCATTGATGACTTTATACTATAAAGTCATCAACTACGCTTCCGGTGAGCTTCTATCATCAAGGAATTCGCAAGCTACCCGAAAGATGGCAAAAGGTCGTTGATGCAAACGGGGAATATTTCGCTGATTAATATTTTTTTGTTTTTTGTTTTTGAATAAAGATTGAATTTTATAAAAAAAAGCTCAGAACTTTTTTGTACACCTAATATTTTATGATCAAATTATTTTCTTCCTCGTTTAGCTATTTTATATGTATATATATATATATATATATAACTATTTTTCAGCATAATATTTGATGTATTCGAAGGAAAATTGAATCAATTTCCTCTCTGTGATAATGATAATCAATTTAACTGAGATGTTTAAAACGGATAGATATAGGTACGATCATTAATTGCTTGCTGCGTAATAATGCTCATTGCTTACGGTACGGACTTTCGTGTTACGTAATCGGCTGGACGACACGCGTATCGATTTCACGGAACAAAACGTCGAAAGTCTCTCGTTGCGTGCTCTATTGCATTGTCAGAAGCAATGAAAGAAACACGAATATGATTTAAACGACATCAATAACTAATAATAAGGTACCATTTTGATATAAGAATTGCAAGTAACGGAGACATAAAACAATTCGACAGGAGATGTAAATTTACTCAATCTCGAAATCGGAAAATTTCAAAGATATATGAGTTATATTGTTCTATTTTCATTCAGATAATGTTAATTTTGCCTTTCTGTATTATTAGAATATATTTTTATGAGTGTTATTTTGTCATTATCATTCACTTCTTTTTCGTTAAAAGAATATAAAAGACATAAAGACAATTATACATAGATTAAAACTACGAATATATTATTACAAATTTTAAATACGCACGTTCAGTTACTTAATATCAGTTATTTAACAGTTTTACATCTTATTACTATACTTATCATAAAAGAGCTTCGAACATTCAAAAAATAAAATCTCATTGTTTGCAATGATTGATGCAAAGTGATAATTTGGATAATTTAATTGTGACTTAAACTTAACGACGTGATAACTAATGACTCATATAACAACGTTGGAGATTGGTGTGTTTCGAAAGAAGACGTTGTAGATGCGTCATTTGTTTCCCGCCTGAATTCTTTCCGATTTCCTCTCTCCTCTCGCGAACTCGCGGTGCGAGTTTCGCTCTTCATCCCTGGACCACCCTGCGCAATAGCGAGCGACGCGCAACAGATACACACCGCGTTATTATATACCCCCGTGTTCACGTGCCGCGCTACCACTACTAGCGCACCCGACTCCTGCACCCGACTTTTTTCCGTCCCCTTTATGCCCGTTAATGACCGTATACGGTGGAAACAGCTGGCGCGCAGGAAATGAAACGCCACGCAACTCGTGAGTGATTCACGAACTCGAATATTCATGTTGCCGAGACAGAGTGAGATGTTATACCTATCGCACCTTCGCTATCCTTTCGCCATCGTATCGCGAATATTCTATTTTATTTGACAAAATTCTCAAAGGGTTATTATAAATTGGATGACAGTTGCCATTCCATTTTCGCCAGGTATCTTTTGAATAGCTTTTACCTTTTCAAGTACGATTGCCCGGTTTATATTTTATATTCCTGCATACGATTTATATTTCCTGAATAAATGAATCTTGATTTACAAATTCTAATAAATAATTGCGAGAAAAAAAAAATATATATATGGTATATGAAATAATAGATAGACGATATTGAAATAGATCTCTCGTTATTATGTATATATCGGTATTAAATAAATTTAGTAGTTTAACGTACACGCTAATCAGACACTGAGCGTGTTGAGTGTTAAAACACTCAATCCTTCTTTCGCAAAGGATATAGAGCAAATCATTGCCATGACTAAACGCAAATAGTAACTCTTATAATGATATTTTTGACAAGCATCTAAATTTTTGGCTTGAAAAAGCGAGAAGAAAGACGAGATGCTTTTAGTTTACAGTGTAATCAAATTTGTGCCACGCTTGCGTGTCTATGAAATGATCCACTTTTTTCTCCCTTTCAGGCTACACGCATGAGGCATGGATTAATCATGAGGAGCCGCCCAAGTACGCGACGCTGCGCTCCGCGGCGGAGCTAGCGCGTCCGGTAGCACCGTCACCGCCGCCTCCGGTCGCGCAACACGAGCTACCGGTTGCGGTGTTGACCGCGCCTGGTCTGCATCAAACGCCGTCGCATCAGGTGACGAGCATCGTCGCCACGAGCCCGTCATCGTCGTCATCGTCATCCTCGTCGTCATCGTCCGCTGTATCGTCGATATGTTTGCCGCCGCGAAAGAGCCTCTCGATGTCCTTCACCAGCACCGGCGCGGCGCTCTCCTTACCGCCGAAGAAGAAAGACATCTACCGTCCTTACAGCCTGCAACCGATCTCGGAGATACGCACGTCCGCCGAGGAGGACCTGTCGGCCGCGCAGGCCATTCTGGATCTTAGCGCGTCGCCCGCCGCGCCCACGCATTCCGTTTTTATTCACACTCTGTCGCCACCGCCACCGCCACCACCACCGCCACCACCACCCCCTCCTCCCGCCGCTACTGTTGCTGCAACGCCGAACGTGCCCGCATCGCAACAACAGCAACAGCAACAGCAGCAACAACAGCAGCAGCAGCAACAACAGCAACAGCAGCAGCAGCAACAACTACAATCGGCGCCGACGACGGGTACTCAGCCTATACCGGTCTCCGTACTCGTGCCGGTACCTAGCTCGCAGACCAATCAGCTACGCCAGCAGGAGCAAACGCCACCGCAGCCGCAGTCACCGGCAACCGCGGAAGCCACCGGCAACTGCAACGTCGGCAGGGACAGGTGAGTCTCACGCTTCGACGCTTCAGCCCCCCTTCTCTCTTTGCGCACCTTCCTGCAATAGGAAAGTGTTAATTGCAAGAGTATTCTCTAATTTATGCTCTTATTACTATGAATGATCATCGATTAAAAGTTAACTTTCTGAAAAAATGGTTTTTAATAAAAAATATTGTTGTTTATAAAATGAACATATTAAAGTACAAATATTACATTCTGTATTACATTGTTATTTTGCATTTAATGTGAAATAAGAATATATAATTTTAAAATATACGTCTAATAAAATAGCATAAAGTTCAAGCTCTGCGGCCATGCATCCGAATCTGAATAGCTAGTCCGGGTAAAGTTCAGAAAGCCTTATCGTCCAGAAAAATCATCGTAACTGTTTCCGATCTTCAACAGCACCACCACCGGCAGCAAGACTGTCGCCTACACCTACGAGGCCTTCTTCGTGTCCGATGGCCGATCGAAACGGCGCGGCGGCAGCGGCAACGGTGCCGCCGTGCCGGACAAGGAGGCGGCCCAGCCGGACAGGCCCAAGTTCACGTGCACCGAGTGCGGCAAGCAGTACGCCACATCGTCGAATCTGTCGCGGCACAAGCAGACGCATCGTAGCCTCGACTCGCAATCGGCCAAGAAGTGCATCCACTGCGGCAAGGCGTACGTCAGCATGCCCGCCCTGGCGATGCACGTGCTCACGCACAAGCTCGCTCACAGTTGCGGCGTCTGCGGCAAGATGTTCTCGCGGCCTTGGCTGCTGCAGGGTCACCTACGTAGCCACACCGGCGAGAAGCCGTACGGATGCGCCCACTGCGGCAAGGCGTTCGCCGATCGCTCGAATCTGCGGGCGCACATGCAGA